CATTGCATAACCATATTAAAGAACAATAAAAGGTAATACATTTAAAGAAAAACAACTAGAAAAGAAATTATTAGAATCATAAAATTCGAAGTCTAAGATTTCATCCACCAGTCTGATGCTTCATCAAAGTAATCAGAGGTCCTCAAAGAAATCAGAGACATCCAGGGATGCATTTGCTACTTCAAGAGCAAGAGGAGTCCCACCAACAGAGATATTGTTGGCCTCAACGGTGGTTATGGCAGCGGGATTAATTTCAATGGCGTGAGATTCACCACGTTTGCCCGTATTTTTAAAGATGCACGGTATAGATCAACAAAGTGCTTTGGCGTACGACAAGTACGTGACGTGCCCGGTCATGCCACAACGATGGCAAATACTTTCATTAGTCACCTTCTTTGGCTTCTTTTCTTTGTCATGATTCGGGCCAAAGTTAGATTTCCTAGGGCGGTTAAATTTTCGCCACCCCTTCGAGGATTATATTCTTGCTGCGCTTGTAGCCCTTAAAATGGCCGGTAATTTTCTCGAGTTAGCATGTGCTTCGGCAATGCTTTTGAGCCGACAGGTCTAAGATCATGATTTTTGAGCAGCAATTCATTAGTTTGCTCAGCGATGAGGAGCACAGAAATTAATTCGAGTATGTGTCAAATTGACTGGCTGGTATTTTTGTTGCAATACAATATTCGGAAGCATGGAAGGTGGAGAAAGTTTTCTCTAACAGTTCCGCATCAGTGAGCTTGATATCGCATAACTCAAGCCGAGAAACAATATCAAATAAAGCGGAGTTATAGTCGGACAACGATTTAAAATCTTGTAGTACGAGATTTTGCCAATCATATTGTGCTTGAGGAAGGATAACGATCTTGGTATGATCATACCTATCCTTCAACCTCTTCCACAAGGTCGAGGGTCTCGAACGGATAAATATTGAGTCTGCAGGGCTCTCATGCAAATGACGACGAATAAAAATCAGTGCATTTGCTTTATCTTTTGCATTTGAGGTTCCGTCTTCGTAATTGCGTTGGCAAGATCTTGCCCTTGGAGGTGCATTTCCATGTCAAGGCACCGGGATAGATAATTATTTCCACTCACTTCGAGGATGTGGAATTTGGGCTTTTCAATATTTGCCATAATTCTTGCAAAACAAATGAATCCTTAAATTAATTAGAAGGATTTCCAAATATCCACCGCCACTTCGGAGGAGAAGGATACTTTTAGGTTGGAAATTTGGCTTCGAGGCCAAGCAAAAGAAAAAAATTGATAGAAGAAGATGAAGTATAAGTTGATTAATAAAAAAAAGGAGAATATATACTTACCTTGCAAAAATTATTTACTCAATTGGTAGATCTTCGTGCTGATAACGTGTTGTAAAATATTGCGTTGCAAGAATATAATAGAGAGAATAGAGAGAGATTAAATAGAGAAAGTAGATAAACACCAAAGATGGTAGAGAAAGTCGGAAGGGAAATTTTATTTTCACTGTATATTTTCCTCTTTCATTCTCTTCTTCTGTTCGATTTCTTACACAATGACCAAAAATAAGCTCCTATTTATAAGGAAACAAGGATGCACATATCATTAATGTCAATGTATTAAATATATACATTGAATAGGGAGATGGACATTCATACGTAGAATGTAGGTTACGAATGTGCCATAATAGGTACATTGAATATAATGAATATTCATTCATGTATTTCATAACACCTAGATGTTTATAGCTAAATGAAAAAATCCTGGGGTTTGTTTGACTGAATAATTCAAAATTGCTCTAAAACAAGCGTGCTTTTAACAAACAAACGTGATGTTTTAGTTACTTTTCACTTTGTGCTCCATACTTGTCGAAGCAAATTTAAAAGCATAAACACTAATTCCTCGCATAGAGCTACTCAGGTTAATGTTCCGACAAGTGAAATTTGCTCGGAAGGGATGTAGTCACCGATGGAAATGGCCTATCCAGACCGTATCTCCGAGCAAGTATTTATATAGACGAGGTCTGTTGAACCAAATTAATCATATTTCATATAATCTTTCGAATACGCAGCTCAAAATATGATAGATCACGTCATCAAATTTGTAAAATATATCGTCATTTCATTTGGGGCATTAAGTTTGTATTTGGAATTGGTTACGTACTTGGCACTACAGTCATACCATTGCTGATAAATTAATTTGTTAGATTATAGATTGTACTAGTTGATAATAGTTCAACTAAATAAGACACTTAAGCTTAACCTGATAAGAATGATCTAAATGCGGAAGATTTACTGCGTTTGTGGGTATATTTCATTGTGTTCAAGCGGATTTATGGGCATTGTGGCATGGCCTGAGTCTGGGTTTATCGGAGATTACTATTGATTTACTTGGACTCTAAAACCATTTTAGATCTTCTTTTCAATAAAAATTTGGATGAATGTGATTCTTTGCCACCGCTTGGGGATATATCTTGATTCGTTCAAGGAGAATGGAAGATCGAACTACATCATGTTTTGGACTTGATTGCCTCAATTGAAAGATTTAAAATTCGATTGCATTCCTTACATACAATTTAATAGACATGTGCAATTTTCTTCCAAAACTCCTTAATCATGAAAACTAGCTAAGAGCCTCTGGCTTTGCCCTGGCTCATCATTAAAAATAAAGTTGTTAATTTGTGTAACACGGCGTTCTCACCAAAGCATATGATGAATCAATCATTAATGTAGGAATATTTTTAACAATAAAAAGTTCAAATAATACTATGAAGACGATGATAAACTTTTATTAAGAGATCTTAACCCAACTGTATCAATTTTTTTAAGTAAGAGCGAACAGTTCGTTATTAAAAGATAGTATCGTCCTGTAAAATTAATTGTGTAATTTGGCTTTAAAATGTGAACCATCATGTCAAAAAAATCTGTTAAATAACGTCTACTAACATATGTGTGCAAAATAAGTTAGTATTAACATCAGTTTTTACATAGGTAAAACTGTGTGTTTTACCTATGTAAAACATCAATTATAGATTTTCAAGAAAAATAACTTGGTTTAAAAATAAATTTCTACCATGCTTTAATTTTTTAATAAAAATAACTGTGTTTTTGTTCGTTGGTGGCACAAGTCTAACAAACCACCCGCATAATTTCCATGTGTCAAGAGTGTTTGAGATTAATCCGTTTGTTTGCTAAAAAATGAATTCTAAGATGCTGAAAAATTCGTTGATCAGGAAAATATCTTCTCTAAATTGAAAAATTCAAGTCAGAAAAAAAATGACATCTTTTTTTCTGAAAAACGAAAATTATTTTTTGCACTCTCTCATGGCGCGTCATCCTTCGCCACACTCTCTAGATATATCGTATGGCGGCCATATTACTATCACAACTTTTCAATTGCTTATTTAAGTTTCTTAACTTTCAAATGTCGTTCATTTAAAGTTACTCCAACGACTTGGAATGGTGCAAATTAGTGACTTGGCATTATTTTATGTTTAAGTAGTTGGTGCGTTTTTTAATTATGCCACATAAGCTACTTGTGGAGAAAATGGCCGATATAACCTTAATTAAACGAGATTTGAAAGTTAAAGAGCTTAAATGAGCAATTGAAAAATTGTGGCACGAAACTGAGCTGTATGCGAAATATTTAGAATTTTTAGGGTACTTTTCATCTAACAATACCTAGTTTAAATATTCTAATTCTACATTCCTACCACCACACAACTATCAAAAGCCCAATACTATGACCTATATCGGCCAACCGCCAGTTGTTTGATCTCCGCTGTCACTGGTCATCAGTTACTCCTTATAGCCGCCGATCACTTATCGCTATTGCCAATGAGAAGCACCCTTTCATAGAAGACCACTTTTTTTCGTTTTGCAATGCAATCAATTGGATAGAAATCTTATTCCACTTAATGATATTACTTGGGATGGGAATTTACATGAGGATTCTTCGTCATGAAACCAAAAGAGGCCAAAATACTTTCAGCAACGGAGTTCAAATAGACAGATCACCCACAGATGTATGATAAGTGGAAAAGTGTCAACATAAGTTTTAACGAGCAATTGCTAGAAATATTGTGTAAGTTATAGCATGGCATACGTGTTTGTGACATCTAAGTCTCACATCAGTTGTGAGAGGCCGTACACTACAAAAAAATAAGGTTTTAGCGACGAATTTTGCCACGAAAAATTTGGCAAAATTCGTCGCTAAATGAATTTGTGACGAAAAAAATTTCATCGCCAATTCGGCGTCACAAAATTTAGCGACGAAAAATTTCAACTTTCGTCGCAAATTAGCAACGAATTCTATTCGTGGCAAAATTCGTCGTTTATTATTCGTGACAAAATTCGTCGCTAATTTGCAACGAATTTTTTTTTGTCAGTAATTTGTGACGAACTTATTCATAGCAAAATTCGTCACTAATTTGCCACGAAAAATTTTGACTTTTGCCACGAACATTGTTCTAAAACGAATTTAGCGACGAATTTTTATTAATTCTTTAACGACAAACTCTGAGACGAATATTGTTTAGGGACGAAATTAACGACGAAATTTTATCTTTGCAACGAACTTTGATAATTTGTGATCGTATGATAAAATCATTTCTTTTATTTTTCGATTTTAAATCTAATTAACAACAAAATTAATTTCTAGAATTTATATTTAACATTGATTAAGCACTTAATAACATCAAAATATTATAATAATATGAAAATGAAATACATTCATCAACATTTTCCACAAGAATGGCTCTTTGCACCTAGTTTATCCAACATCAGAAATCTCTACATGGCTCTGCTCTGCTCTGATTCAACGCTAAGAACTTGCCCAAAATTGGAAAGTACAGAAAGAAAGAGAAGTCAAAGGAGCATGCCAGGATGAGATAGAAAAGTCGAATGTACAATCCTCACAGAAACCTCGGTGGCATCGGGATCGCGTCACTCATTCCATGTCACCACCCATCCCCTCAAAGGCCTCATACTCGTAATCCTCATCAAGATTCTCCATTGTTTTTCCAAAGACGAAGGATTTCGTTCCCATCGTCGTGAAAGGCATGAGGCTGAAAGCTCGAGCGGTTTTGATCTCCCTCGCAACCTTCCTCTGCGCCTTGGCACTGATGCGAGTCTACAAAAAGGGACAAACGGAAAATAAATAAGAAAATCAATTTGCAGCTCAATTAATTTCCATAACCTAACTGATATTCGAACTTTACCGAGCTCCTCTTGATTATTATTCCGGCAGCGGTTATGAAATTTGCAAGGAACCTCACATTCTGCAGAAATTGAACATTGAGAAAGTAATCCTCTAAGCAAAAAGATACCGACAGAACATGACAAACCATCCAAGTATGCAAAAGTTTCATGCAAGCTATGTTATTCATATATTATTAGGCGAACTACAGCGCTTAGAGAGAACTCATGCTGACATCGGGATAAACTCTGGCAACACCTAAATTTATGTCATTCACCCTTTGATCTGAATAAGAGGTTTCTTCTTATAAATACATGGGGTTACATAACGGAAACGGGATAGTGGCCTTCCTTCACTCTGGGGAAAATGTCCACTCTTTACATCAGTAGATCGGGCATCTAGGCGAGATTGGTCATTTAACAACTAGAAAAGCAGAACTAAGCAGAGCAAAATGGAAGAGAAACGCCAGTAGAGCACAAATAACCAGAGATACGTATTGCCTGTAATAAGAGTCACATGGTATCAATGGCCCCTAGAGATATACAATCTCCAAAGAAATATCAACCAATTTAAAAGCTTCAGCATGCTGAAGGTATTAACCATATCACATGAAGCAGGAAACATGCTTGAAAAAGGTTTCATCAGAAGGGCATGAATGATTTACAGTGATCATCAAAGCACCTCTTGCTCATAAGAGGTGCTCGCCAGTTCAACATATCTGGTATACTATTTGACAATTCTAAACAAAACAATATGATCAACCCAATGCTTACCCTGAAATCAGCTTTTCTCAGCACTTCTGCTGTAGTAACTTCAAATTCCCGTCTTTTGGTGAACTTGCGCACTCCTGGTTTCTTAAGATCGAGATCCTAAAAGAAAGATAGATATAGCTCAGTGAATATAAGGACACTTAAGTGAAAAGCAAAACATTGCAGGAGAAAGTTAGCAACATACATAAAGGACAACAGGTTTTATGTATAATAGCTAAAACCATGACCAATCCCTATAGGCCAATTAGTTTCCTGCTAAACACTGACGAAGTACATAATTGATAAGTAGCAACAGATTTCTCTCTCAAATCATAATATCCAGGCGATGTGGACAGCATAAGCAGATTAATATAGAAGATTCACATAGGAAAACCCTCCACAGAGAGTAACACTGAAAAATTAAAGTTATTCACAACAAAAATGCAATTGACCAATCAGAGAGCATAAGAAAAAGGTAGATATATCGCACAACTTCTGTTGTGCCTTACACTTGTCAGCTGATAATCTTCTGTTGGCCAAAAACTCATGGACAAACTTCCAAACAGTAGATATAAATTAAACTCACATGCTTTTTAGTCCTCAGGTTTACTTTTTCCTAGAAACTATTTTTGCACGTATATTTTTTTGTAAAACCTTAAATGAAGATAATTGAGGCTCTTACCATCTTCTCTGACAATACCATCATGTCCATCTGAGGAATATGGGTCTAAAGCAACATCAGTGTATATCACCTATATGGCAATAGAATCAGAAGGCAATATTAAAGATAGAAAACCATGAAACAGGAAGGACCCTATGCTCAGAACTACGCCTTCAACATTTTGACTTACGAGATCAGGGTACTTATCCTTGAGTAATCGTATTGTTCTTGGCACCAAACCATTGTCATTGTATGCTTCATCTCCAGTGGGAGACTAATACCGGAAGTTTAAGACAAAGGAAATCAGATTAATTGATTTCAATGAACCAGGACATAAAACAGGAGGAACAACTAAAACCTTCAGAGAATGAGGCACTTTGGGGAAGAGTACAATGCTATTAACACCAACATCACGAGCCATCGCCACCTGTATCAAAAGTTTTGAAGGATTTAGATCAATTTTGATTAGGCTCTATAGATATCTACAGAGACAACAGAGAGGTACTAGCATAGAGAATTCTATCTAAATTTGCAGGGATTTTCCAGAAAAATTAAACTCTTTATTTGCTTGTCCCCTTCTATTCTGGAAAATGGAGCAGTTTTTCAAGGGTTAGTGAATCATCTACTCTAAGAAAAAGAAAAGAAAAGGACCCCATTTGGCAGAGCACCATTCAAAGCTCCATCTGAACCACTGCATCTTCCAAGTCTACTCTAAACACAAGACAAAGACAATCATTTGACAGACCACCATCATATTTCCATCTGCACCATCACATCTTCCAACTGATTCCTCAATACCAATAGGCGTATAAGGCCTTCTAATCATTAAGAGGACATGGACGTTTTGAATTCCATACGTTGACAAGCCCACATTGACTGACTCACCTCTTCTACAAGCCCATGCCTCCAACCAAGCCTATAGCATCCTGGCATAGCCCCAATCGGAGTATCTTCCTCACCTGCAAATATTGTTGCCCAAGATGCTAAGTTAGTTCACATGGATTGAATCTACAAAGCACTGCACCTGAGAGATGTCTCACAAACCTTCACGAATAAAAAGTGGGTAGACAAAGTTTGCCGGGGACAAACGTGTCTCCTGGAAAGCTGATCTCAGGGCTGGTGATCTTCGATTGCGACGCGGGCGGCGACTCAATGGCTACACAAACAAAAACCAATCAGGGAGGTCGAGAACCTAAAAAGCTGGAAAATGTCAGTATGATGAGAAATACATCGGCAAAGTAAGAAACACAAATTCAACACATAGTCCAGCCACTCCATGCCGCTACGCTCGTAAAGCTCAACAAAGCAGTTAGATTGAACACTCGCCAGCAAAGGGACGACAGGAGTTCCAGCCGGGGGCCTCCGGCTTGGGCGGGACCGGAGGCGCTTTGGGCACATTCCCCGCCACAACAGCAGCTTCGCATTCCGCATCCGTCATCCCCAACTTCTTAACAGAATCGTTGCGACTTTCACTAGCCCTCACGACCAATAACCGCCGGGACGGCTGTCCCCTGCTCGCGGCTCGCAAAGAACTGAACTTCGCACTCGGCGGCGGTTTCAGCCCCACCTCACCCAAGAACAAGAAACGGAGAAATCCTCAAGAACGCTCCAAGAAAACCACACACGATCCCATAAATCCCCCAAGAACCCGAGAAACCCAGCAAAGAACCTCGACCCACAAGACACCCACCGCGACCCAAGAAGCGCGAGCGCAAACACGAGCCGCCGAACCACCCCCGCACCCCACCCCCCCACAGAAACAATCGCACGATCACAACACCCCAAATTTCAAGAAGCCTCTCGAGGGAGGCGAGGGGAGCGCGAGAGAGAAGGAAAGGATCGCACCTGGATAAGGGTCGCGCGCGAGGGGTAGGACGCCAAGACCGCCGTCGACCACCTCTCGGGGTTCAACGTCGCGAACCGGTACCTGATCGTGCTCTACTACCAGCCGGCGAAGATGAACAAGAAGTTCAACCAGAAGAAGAAGGAGCGCGACGGAAGGGAGGGAGGGAGGGAGGAGGAGGAGGAGGAGGAGGAGGACGTCGTCGTGTTTGCGGGGTGGGCTCGCTTTCGGGGTCGGTCGCGCTCGCGCAGAGAGAGAGAGAGAGAGGAGAGAGAATGGGAGAGAGAGGGCGAATTTTGCGACGAAATTTTAAATGTTCGTCGAAAATTTTTGTGACGAAAGCCAAGTTGGTCGCAAAATTTTTTATTTGCAAAATTAGTAAATTAACGATGAAATTAGCGATGAACGTATTATAATAAAAATTAAGCAAATAAAAAATTTAGCGACGAATACGGTTTATCGTTAATTAGCGACGAATTTTGCGACGAATGTGTCACGAAAGTTATTTCCGTCGCAAATTAGCGACAAATTATTTTTCATCGCTAATTTTTTTATTTGCTGAATTAGTAAATTAGCGACGAACTATGTTCGTCGCTAATTTTTCATGTTCGTCGCAAAATTTTTTATTTGCGGAATTAGTAAATTAGCGATGAATTTAGCGACGAACGTACTATAATAAAAATTCAGCAAATAAAAAATTTAGCGACGAATACGGTTTGTTGCTAATTAGCGATGAATGTGCCATGAAAGTTATTTTCATCGCAAATTCCGTCGCAAATTAGCGACGAATTATTTTTCATCGCACATTCCGTCGCAAATTAGCGACGAATTTTTTTTCGTCACAAATTAGTGACGAATTTCGTTTTCGTCGCAAATTCCGTCGCGAATTAGCGACGAATTCTTTTTCGTCGCTAAATCTTTGTGTTTTTTGTAGTGGTATTGAGTGACTCATAAGTTGAAATATACCTTCAAATAGCAAAGAGAACTCCTCTTGGAGTCTTAGCCAACGTAGAATGAGTTAGGTCGTTACAGATGGTATCAGAGTAGGGTCTCCTACCGCAGATATGTAATAGAGGGACGGATTAGGTACATACCCAACCTGACAAGGACCGGACAAGGTGTCACTTTTGGCATGCTTCTAGTAGAATACGAATTTTCTCAAAAAGTGCCTGATAAATTGGAAGGACCAATTACAATGAAGCTGATTTTGAGAGCCGGTGCTGCTGTGTTGTGACGCCTCCACAGCGATTCAGATTGAGGATTTCAGATCCCAAAGTAAGTTACTTCCTTCAAATCTTTAAGTATAACAGAGCTCAGCGGAGGAGCTTTTACCACCTCTCTTCATCCGAATCGACCCCACATGAAAACCCAGCAACAACTTCTTAAACTTCCAGCGATTTAAATACGTACTGTCACCAGCCATGGACACGAAATGGTTTCGCAAATTGTTGTCTAAGGATTTTGAAGTATACTATAGACAGAAACTCAGCTTTGCAAAATATTAAATTGAGTGAAGCACAGTGATTTACGACATTAGAAGAACATTGAACATGTAAATCACATTAATAGTTTTCCAAGGCACATTGATTACAATTCACCTCATTTATATAGCAAATGCATGGACACATGCCCTTACACTTGGTCTATTTCTTACTTGGCTAGGAAGGGCAACAAATCTACTTTATCAGAGATTAGAGCCTAGAAATTTGCTCGAAGGTAGACATATAATATCTCCGTATTAGTGTCACTGAATGATGTTTTCTATTAGCATGAAGCCATGGAAGAATAAAATGAGAGCACAACGAAAATTTTAAGTACATGAACTCGGTTGCTGGTCTAGTCATAGCAGGTGAAACTAATCTCCACTTTCTCAGCAGTACTGGACATTACTGCATCTCAACAATGAGTCACTGGATCTTCTTACGTCCATCTGCTGTCCATAGATTACATTATATGTCGCGAGTTGCAAGTTTTAGTTTCAGTCTCAATTTAGTGTACATTCACATCAAGCAGTGACGATACCATTTGACCAAGTTCAAGATCAATAGATCCACTCATCTGTAATGCAACCACATGAATAGAATTTTCAGTCTACTTGACATGTGAAACATGAACAAAGAAAAACTCTTTGATTTGATTCAAACATGATCCTACTAAGATATCAGAATATACCCAGCAAGAGAGAACCTGAAAAACCCATATTTAAACATATGTACTAGAAGTCATCCATGGCAAAATCTCTGATGCAAGACCCAAGCTACAAACAGAAACCCCCTAGAACTCCTGAGAGGCAGATCCAATGTCTCCCTTCCCTTGCCCATCTTCTTCGGCAACTTTGGTGAATTTTGGGCAACACTCCTCAGCTATGGTCACAGAACCGGGAGCTTGCTAAATTCTTCATAGTTCCTCACTGCAATCTGGAAGTGCCTCGGGACAATCCTGTTCTTCTAGTTGTCCATCGCAGCATTTGCAGCGAGTTCCAACTCCTAAAACCCCCAAACAAAAACTAAACTTAACAGACAAGTTCAAGGGCTTGAAAGGACGTCAGCAAACAAAATCAAAATAATCTACAAAATCCAGACGACGGGACAACAAGAAGGATAATTTCTGCTTTCCGTATGCTGGGTGGGGTGATGATTCAGATGAAGAGAATCGATTTGGCCTAAAGCCCCTTGGGACAACTTGCCAAACACCCCAAATTTTCCCCAAGGGGCTTTGTGGCCTAAAACTCCTTACAAATGCTGAACCAAAAGCACCCTAAGATAAGTCACTTCCTAAGTCAAGCTGGGATGTCGCAAATATTTTGAGGTCTTACTTTTCCTGATTCTTCTGCGGGAAATTTTCGATTTGAACAAGAAAATGCTCTTAAAAAGTTGAAGGGAAGCGACAATGAGAAATGAAAACACCTACAACCATTGAACATACTTAGCAAAAATTAGGAAATCGTCACTCATGAACAGGATTTAGGATTTAGAAACAAGCCACACACACAACAACGATACAAAATCCAGGCTCACACAGCATTTTTATTTCTACATTGGTACAAACATTCTGAAACACGAGGGAGATCTCATTCAGTGTTTACCTGAGAGAGGAAAGAATGGGTTGTCCAGTGGGCGGCCCTCCATCGTGTGAAATAGACTTCTGGTATGTGCTCAAATTTTTTATAGTCATCTTTCTCGTGGTCCGCTCTTACATTCTCGTAGAATTCATGAGACATGTCAAAAAACGTGAGCTTTCGGATTGTGGGAATGTGTTCGATGCCGGAGGGTATTATTTCCAACCATTCACAGCGGCTGATGGTTAGCTCTTCAAGACACGGCATTGTTTCCTTCTCCAAACTCATTAATCTAAGCTCCTCTAATTCCTCAAGCAGTAAAATCTTGAGTTTCGGAAACTGCCCTTTCTTGAAATCCAATTTCTCTCCATCATAAGCCCGACGTAGTTGCAACTCTACTAGCTCCGGCAATTTTCCAAGGATCGAAAGGAGATCTTCCTCTAAGTGACTCCATCTTAATAAGATCTTTGTCAAACATTTACAGGACGATATCCAATCCGGCAACTCCTCCAAACGGCCATGCAAATAGAGATGTTTAAGATACTTGGGAGGCGAAGATAAGCCATGGAGATCAATTATCTCGTCCTCGTCAAATGCATGTACATTGAGGGACTTTAGCTCCCCTAACTCCTTAAGGGAAGTGCACAACTCCTCACCATGTTTCTTTCTCAACTTGGTAATTCCCAACCGCCTTAACTTTCTCAGATTCCGAAGATCTTTTAATGTTCTTTTGTCTGCTTCCACGAAACAGAGCTTTTCTAGGTCCAAGAACCCTCCAACCCTGCATGATGCCTTGAAGCCAATTAGTTTGTAACTCTCCATTAGAGGGTCTTTCTCGTGATGATATATTAGGATGTGACGAATTCTTTTAAGTCTTGCAACCTGCTTAGGCAATTCAGTGACCAAGCTATGTTTAGCATCCAAAAATTCTAGACACCTAAGCTTTCCGATGGAGTCTGGGATTACTTCGATTAAGGTATTCCTTATGCTCCAGTATCTAAGATCAGTTAGCTCAAGCAGTCCATCTGGAACGATCTGCAGCTAGAAAACACAAATCAAATGGAGTCATCTCCTGGACATCCGCAACTCATCTCCTGAAGTCAGCTATGTAAGACTCATGCAAGCAAATCGGGATATTATTTTTACTTCTGTAATTTTTTTCTCTGTGATCACAATTATATTCAAGAGGACCCGCTAATGCAAGTAAGTTATATTAACAGAATGGCCATCAAAGACCCAAGGTTATGACAATGCAGATACCTCTTCCGATGCTTTATCGTCAACACTGGGAGCAGATACTTCTTCTCCTCTCCCCAGGGCGTCCGAGTGTTTGCCAAGTTTTCGGTAATAGGCGTCCTGCCAAGGCCTGCGTCGACGTTGACCGAATATCCTTGCCAGGCGCGCTCTTGTAGCCAGTGCAAATAGAGCGAAATACTGTAAAGCAGATCGTTTCTCTCTTTTCCGAAGGGCATCAGGGAGATCGCCACGTATGTTGGATGATGAAGTGCCCGGCGAAGGCCCGCCTTGCGCCGAGGAGCCCTGCAGGTGAATTTGTGGAGCAGATGCTTCTTCTTCTTTCTCATGGGATTTGCCCTCGCATGGAAGATGGGCTTCTACGTCTTCCTCTTCTCTAATGTTCGCCATCTTTCCTTTGCTTGCCGTCACACGGATCCAGCGATCCAGAACTCAGCTGTTGCGGGTGCG